AAGACGATGACGTCATGATTCAATCCGATCTCAAAATGCTTCAATTGCCATTATTACCGGAGAATATGAATTAATGATAAAGGCCTCAAGTCTCAATCGGCGTTGTTATTAGTGTCTACTTGTTTGAAGAAAAGATAATTAATTTCAATATATATAACTCTCCCATATACTGGATTCCTGCGTAGACCTTTGAGACTGTGATGGAAATGTGACAGTAGTTTCAAAATCATCGACATATAAATTCAAGAATAGGAATGGAGTTGTGAAATCACTGAACTTCTTTTAAGAAAGTGATCCTCCTTGATTTTTTTTTGGAAATTATAATGCTAAAAAGTGTGTTTTGAGCATGGAAGTAGAAACCAAAGAAATAAGCACTCAAATCACCGAGTGAAGATTGAGGTATGGTAAACTTATGTTGAGAAAATTTCAAACATATAAGTCGTTTTTTTTTCTGATTGATTCGGCCGTTACTTGATGAAGATCCATATTAATTTCAAAAACTACACCTCACGATTCGCTAATGTCTTAGCGGAACATGTTCTGATATATTTTTCAAATAAAGTTTGTGGAGATCAAATCGTGAGGTGTAGTTTTTGAAAAAAAAATATTAGTCGTTATTCAGTATTCGCAGAGTTTACTTCTTTTGAAAAGGCGGTTTTCGAAAGCTCAATCTTAGGTCAGGTTAGGTTAGGTCCAAAGTGAGTGGGTCTATTCGACCCTCCACCGCAACCCGCAAGAGTTTATTGTGGCTCACACCTATTCTCACTCGGCCAAACAAACCCAGCTTTTTAACGAAGCCGATTTGTTTATATGGTGAGTGGTCTTTCAGGTCAGATTTTAAGAGTACGGCTCTGCCGAACTCTAAAGACCTGATTCGGTCCCCAGCGGGGCAAGCACAAAGTATATGCTCTGTTAATGAGGTAGTCGGATAGTCAAGTTGCAAGATTTCCACCTTGATACCCACGACAACCTTCCCATATGAGGGTTTTTGCACGTCAGCGACACCTGACGATGCCTTAGATTCAGCCGTGCAGGGCTTTTTTGCCTCTCGTGAGCTCAAGTGAGGTGAAACCTCACCTGCGTATGCCGCAGCTCTCGCTCCTGAACTAAATTTACAGGGAGTTCAATTGCAGTCGTAAACTCGACATCCTTCTCCTGTGTAGACCCTCTCCTGAACTAAATTCACAGATAGGTCAGTTGGAGTCGTCAACTCGACAATCATCTCCTCTGTTGACTCGTTTCTGAAATAAATTTACAGGGAAGTCAGTTGGAGTCGTAATCTCGACATCCATCTCCTGTGTAGACTTGCTCCTGGATTAAATTTACAGATAGTTCAGTTGGAGTCGTAAACTCGACATCCATCTCCTCTGTAGCCTCGCTCCTGAACTAGATTCACAGAGAGGTCCGTTGGAGTCGTAAACTCGACATCCATCTCCTCTGTAGACTCGCTCCTGAACTAGATTCACAGAGAGGTCCGTTGGAGTCGTAAACTCGACATCTATCTCCTTTGTAGACCCTCTCCTGAACTAAATTTACAGAGAGGTCAGTTGGAGTCGTTAACTCGACAACCATATCCTCTGTTGACTCGCTCCTGAAATAAATTTACAGGAAAGTCAGTTGGAGTCGTTATCTCGACATCCATCTCCTGTGTAGACTCGCTCCTAGATTAAATTTACAGGGAGTTCAGTTGGAGCTCGACATCCATCTCCTTTATAGACTTAGCGTCAGAAAGAATTTTTCAAGTTCACTCTGTCCATAAAGGTCCCACGAGTAGCTAAGGAAAGAAGGTCAATCACGGCAGAGCCCCGCATTACCGTGACAAGGCGATGCTACGACGAGAGGGCGCTTGGTATCTCGAAGGTTCCGTAGAGACAGCTGATAGGATCAGTGTCATTCATCCTCTCGGCACGGACACACACACCTTAGGATTAGGCCATCGTTGGGATGTCATTCAGTTAGGGAATAACAGAACCACAAGTGATTCTGTCATTCCCGTATCCAGCTGGGTTACGTGGAAGCAGGCATCCGATGGCCGGTTTGTTCAACCCCCACATCCCAAGCTAATGCACTCGCCGAAAACAGCACGTTCAGTGGTTCAGGCAGTGAAAAATGAACAAGGACAGCCAACCCCCCAATGCTAAATGAGTCAGTGTTTTTTTTATGGTGCTTTGATGATATTTCAAACAAAAATATAGCGTTTTCTGGTGTGATATTTCATAGGTGACTTGATAAAATATTCGTCTTCTGACGATCGAGGACATGAAAAGCTACAGAATTGCTCGAAGTTATTTTTTTTATTGTTTTATGCAATTAACTAAACAACTTACAAATGCTCACAATGAATTGCTATGAAATGAAGTTACAACTGAGGAAGACATTCTCACATGACTGTTCAGTGTGTTTACTGTAACTGTCTATGTGTCCATTCAAAAGTATGTGATAACATTTAAGAAAGTAGGGGAGACTGGATACAAAATTTACAGTGACTCGTAAGTAACGCACGTTCTGTCTCTCTCTCTTATTATCAAAATCAGATTCTCGAAGGTTGAATAACTCAGTTATAAGTGTTCAAAGAGGACACGTGTCTCCATTTTTTATGTTTTCATTTGTAGGGTTTTTCCTACAACTATTTAGTTTAGAAACATTTTATTTCTTTATTGATTTTTATTTTGTATTATAAATTTTTGTTGGAAATTACCTTTTCATAACTGCATTATCGAGCAGTCGTCCAAAATATCCATCTGCTTGGGTTTTTACGTTTTTACTTATCATTTTCTTGTTTTTTTCATCGCATATTATTGAAATGCTCTCTTTTCTCGAAACGAAAGTTTATTGCCGAAAAACAGATGAATATTTAGAACGACATAACTTGGAATGTTTCGAGTAAATAATCATTGATAACACTCTTATGGATTACGATAAGGAATTCGGGCCCAAGTGGTTTATCCTTTTTGACTATATTTATGACTCGACCATTTGTCAGTGATAATTTTTCAAGAGTTACTTCGAACACATTTCTTAGCTGATACATTCATTCTGTTCTGGGGTTTCTGCCAGGAATTATTTCTTTTTCAGGGGTTTCCGCCGATAACTAAACCCGCTCTAGAGTCTCCTCGCTGATAGAGTTAGTTCCTCGAATCACCCTGTAATTTTTTTTTTTCGTGTTTTGTTTGTCATTGTGCTTTGTTGTTAGTAAATTGTATTATTGATTATCACTGTGTACGGCTAAATAATAATTCACCCATCACCAGTCCCGACACATTGAAACGATATCAAATGAGCACTTTGAGCTGAACAGCTGGAATCATTTATTATTTTTAGTTTCTCACTTCGCTTATCATTTTTTATTTGTCGTATTAGACGAAGCGAATTCTTAAACAAAAAACATCCTATGAATTACTTCAACCAATAAAAACACGCTAAAGTTTCGAAAGGACCAACAGATGAATTCATGGGATGGATCATCGGTGAATTTAAAAAATTATCCAAGATGACTACTCAACAGGAAACTAAATCAGTCAGTGGAGACGATAGAGTCTGTTTGAAAATGACAACAATGGAAAGTCATGAGTAGGAGTACGAAATGCGAGACAGAGAGAAAAGAATTTTTGTTTCTCAGTGGAGCATTTTACTTAATTCATTTTCAAAAAGTAACTGCAATTGGAAAAGAAGTAACCTACTGTTGAAATCTTCAATGAATGCATACATCTGAATGACTGGTGAAAGACATCTACTACATGTCCGTTTCAGATTTGTTTGATATGGATCTAAAGGGTCTTTTATTAAGCGCTTCTTATCTTTGAATTTAAATAAAGCAAAGTGTGTGTGAGATAGCATCAACATTTTTTATTCATTTGAGAGAACTATTGATGCCATTATGTGTGGAATATAACATAACTTGGTGGATAGGCTGAATTTGACCGATGACATGGGTTATATTCGTTTTGAGGACCGCTGTGGTTTGTGACTTATTGGCACACACTTGCGACTTAAGAAACCCCCTGAAAAAATCCAACGGCATCAAATCGCACGATTTCAGTGGCCAGTTCACATAACCTCAACGTGAGATAGCCATGTCCTCAAATTGATCGTGCAGAATATCCAATGTGGCATGAGCTGTGTGGCACGTAGCGTCGTCCTATTGAAACCACTACATGTCCTTGGTGTCCGGATCCAATTAAGGCCAAAAGAAGCTGGTTAATCATCAACCTATGGTGTTTGCCGTTGACAGTGGTGGCCTGGCCAACATCGTTCTCAAAGAAATATGGACCTTTGACACAGCCCAGAATCCACACCAAACAGTGACTTATTCGGCTTGGATTGCACGCTATTGAATCTCATGTGGATTGGTATTATCCCAAATTCGACAATTCACCTAAAACTCGTTGCTGAAGATGATTTTTCGATGAAAATAGAGATCAGTTGCCAACTCCTCCAGAGCCCATTCAGCGAACAAATGTCGTTGTCTATGGTCATGTACCTTCAGTTCTTGGGTCAGTTGAATTTTGTACGGGTGCAGGCCCAAGAGACGACGCAATATTCGCCAAGTCGTAGTCTGCGAAAGGCCGAGTTGATGTGAGCGACGCCAAATCGACTGCCTCGGATTCTTCTGCACTCTCTCACAGACAGCGGCGATGTTTTCGGCGGCACGTACGGGTGTTGGGCGATCGTTTACTCAACCAATGGACTTGATATAACGCCCAATTTCATTATTTGCACGTGTTGCTGAACGCTACATCCATTCATGGTGATTTGACTAAACAGACTGAATAAATAATAAATGACAACCAATTTGACAAATGTAGATTCAACAAGATGGCCGTTATAAATTGTTAACCCATAACAGACTGGCGTTGCCATATGGCAATGCTTATCTACCTGACATTTATACTGTTTTTTGAAAAGAACATAATCCTTTTTTACAGTTTTCTGCTATGGTGCAGTTCACGAATTGTTTACGTTACTTCTAAATAGGAGTAGATGACTGTGGCATGCTTCTTTCCCTTAGTGTGATTGAATATTCTAGCGTGTTATATTTGCTGACTGCAAAATGGATATAAACTTCATGTAGGTACAACAAAATATCTTCTGTTATGGTCTATAGTAGCATGCAATTCTAAATAAATGATGATTTTCCATAAAAATAGCACTTTTGACTGAAATAATCCGCTAATTAGATATTTAGTTGATTCCTAACCTCAGAATTGCCATATGGCAATGCTAGGCTTCACAGGCTGCATGTTTATATGATGTTCCTTTTTGTTGTTAGAGATGGGTTAACTCTGGAAGAAGCATTGCAAATGGCTTATTCAGACGACCTCGATGTTCGAAACATCTTTATAGAACCGCCAGATGTGAATGAATTGACTGATGAAGATTCTGGCGAGGAGGATGAAGGAGGGCTTGTTGACAATTTGTCAAGAAATCAACTGAAGGCATCCGCTCAGTTAGAAGTTTTTCAAAACGATTCCCTCGAAGATGACGAACCAATTACTCTCGACGAACATAATGAGGGGATGCGCGAAAATTTTGTAGAAGGAAACAATCGAGAAGAAACTGTTTTCGCGCAAGCAGAAAAAATTGATTATGACAAAATTGAATGGATCGAAGGTGATCTTATGATGACGGCGAAAGAATTTCCTAAGGGAAATTATGAGAATTTCAAAACTTTCACGCCTGTCGAAATGTTCGAACTGTTCTTTGATGATGACATGATTGATTTTTTCTTGGAAGAGACGACAAGATATGCCTTTTTCAAAAATCATCCCAATCCCCAAATAACTCGGGAGGAAATGCGGTGTTTTCTCGCAATCCTAATATTGTCTGGATATAACTGGATGCCAGGCAAAAAATTATTTTGGGATACTGCTGGAGATTTGGGCAACCAATTGGTTATAGAGGCAATGAGAAGAGATCGGTTTTTGACAATTTGGAAATATTTCCATTTAGCAAATAATAATGATATCGATCAATCCGATAAGTACTACAAATTGCGACCACTCGTAGAAAAATTGCAAGCCAAATTTATGAAATATTACGTACCCGAGAGAGATTTGAATTACGATGAATCCATGGTAAAATATTTTGGTAGGCATTCATGAAAACAATTTATAAAGGGAAAATCAATACGTTTCGTGTACAAGGTTTGGTGTATCAATGGTACAAGCGGATATCTTGCGAATTTCATGATATATCAAGGAAAGGATCCAAAATATAAAGACAATTATAATGCGGTGTTTGGAACTTCTTCTGCACCATTTGTCACATTATTGAACGAGATGCCTGAGGAGAAACGAAATCTACGATATTCTCTATTTTGTGATAACCTCTTCACTAGTTTCCATCTATTGACTCACCTCAAACAAATGGGATATGATGCAACAGGCACAATTAGAGAAAACCGTATCCCAAAAAGCTGTCCTCTAATTTCGAAAAAAGCTATGAAAAAGAAGAACAGGGGAGAAGTCGGTTATGTATTGGATAAGCAAAATTGAATTATATGGGTGAGGTGGGTTGATAACAATGTGGTAACTGTTGCATCTACTTCTGATGGAGTATCTCCAATTGGCAGCGTCAAATAATATTCCAAGGTAGAAAAGAAAAACATCAACATCCGAAGACCTTGTGTGATTGGAAAATACAATTCATCAATGGGTGGCACAGACTTGATGGATGGTGGTGTCTCTTCACCTGGTTAATAGATGCTACTTTACAAAACGCTTGTATTTTACATAAGAAAGCAGGAAATAATTTGACTCATCTGCAATTCAGGAGAGAGATTGTCAAAGCATACCTCATAAAATATCGCAATCCTCGGAAGCCTGGTGGTAGGCCATCAAGCAGTTCATCAAGTAGATCTTTTAGGCGTATTTCTGATGACATAAGATTTGATAATGTGGGACATTATCTGACTTCTGTACCAAATAATAAGAAAAAAAATTGTGCTGGTGAACAATGCAAGTTAATTATGAGAACAATGTGTATCAAATGTGGCGTAGGGCTTTGCCTAAAATGCAATTTATTGTTCCATACCCGTTTGTAAATCTTCCTGACAATTCTGACATTTTTTCAATAAAAACATTTCATTCAAGTCGTTATTTTACTAATTCTGCACCAGAAGACCACATCCACCCATTGCAATGCCTAGCATTGCCATATGGCAACCAGCAATATTTTGAAGAAAAATGCATATTTCAATAATTGGTTGTCATTTTCTTGATCACTAGAATTAATTGAAGCACTTTCACTTGAAATTATAATTTTTTTGAAAAACAAGAAAACTCCGTCCCTGATGGGTTAAAGTTTGGAAGTCCCTACTGGAAGATCCTATATGAAGGACGTCCATAGAAGAATATCCGTTACTGGAATGTTCACAAACATTTGTATTGCCAAATAATGAACTTGTCAAGGATATCTATTGAACCTCTTTTCAAAATCCTTTGATCATTGGGACGAAAATCGGTCCTTCTATGGATGTTCAATGAATATCCTGGGTTTGAACACACGGCGACAAGTGATGTCACACTAATGTCTTGTCTATCAAAAAGTGCAAAAAGTCATTATTTTTTACCAAAATTTTGTCCGGCTCTGATATCTTGCCCCTATGAGGGAGCTATTTAGTCTGCACTGTATAATCTAACCCTGTCTGTCACCCAGTGGCACTACTACACGTATTCAGTTTACGTATGTGTTCTGTCAAGTGCATTCATTAAATGCCTTTGGTATATTCGCTTGTTATAGAGGAATCCCTTCAGGGGGAGATACTACCCTTCCTGACAATGTTGTGTGACGAACGAAGGGGATGCTCGCACAAAATGCATATACATACATCTATTTAATATCGCATAATAGATGCACTTGCCTCGTTTTCTCGGCTGTAATTGCGTTCATGTTGCCATGGCGCCCAATGTGTTGAGAGGGCGAGATTTATGGCAGTAGGAGCATTATACCCTGTGTCTGTTTGTAAATGGTTTGTAATTATATGAAAATAAATATTTCGAAATAAAGAACAAAGCTTTGAAATCATTTGGGAATACAGCGAAAGCCTAGGTGTACTCTTATAACATTATATTTCCAAACATCAGGGAGCTACAAGATGATGAATAGGATTATATTATTTGAATGATAGAATGATGCATTAGTCAATACTTACAATGTCAAGTGAGGTTGTTAGGTTGATAAAATATAAAATTGTGAAACGTCAAGTATTAAAAATATATTAATCAATTCTTTGAATTATATAAGAGAAAAGACCACTTGCCTAAGCTGCTGGAGCAAATTTAGTCAAACAACAGGTGTAGATGTCTTGAAGGAGTGATTTATGGTGTGAAAGAACAGTATTATGCAAGTTAAAATTTCTAAGTATTATTAAGGAATTTGATGAAAGAGGAAAAGTTATATTGATTAAATAACATCAAATGAGTTATCTTCTAGAATATCCCAATTTTTATCTATTAGAAGTTAATATGAATAAATTTCACTTAAATGATTGACGTCTGTTTTTTTATTCAGGCAATTTTGCGACTGTGAGATAAATACCATTTCCAAGAATAGTCTCTTCGAAGCATTATTTTCTTTAGCTAAAATTTTGACAGAATCAAATTCAGTTGCATGACCCTCCCAGTAGATATGTTCACTGAGAGCACACCTCTTAGGGTGTAGCCTGCAATCACTTTTATGTGAGGAAATACGGTCTTTTAAAATTCTGGCTGTTTGACCTATGTATTCAACACCGCAATCAGATCAAGGAATAGTGTAAATTGATTTTGATTGTATTTTTTCTATTTTGTCTATGACGTTTGTCAAAATAGTTCTATTGGAAATTTTTATATTATCTATGTTTAAAAAATCCGTGTGGGAGTTCAGGAGTGATATCTGTTTTTCCGTTAATCAGATAAGGTATCGATGATTCAGGTAACATTTTTGTATACGGATTTGTTTGTCAAACTGCGTCAGTATACTCATAAATGCGAAGGTCACTCACATTATTCACCTCTGTTTCTCTTTACTGGTGAGTCCTACAAAGCTAAAATTCTGTATATAAGTGCTTCTTAGGTCTTAGATGCGCACTAAGAAAGAATACGTTTACATATGAAAATCACCATTTCATCGCCGAACATAGTCCAAATAAGGTCTAATCCGAGCTATATAAAGCAGTAAATGTTGCTGAGATATGTACAGTTTTCTGGTTCGGAACAGTGTTCCAAGCTTCTGATAAACATCCTTTGCAATTCCAGCGACTTGATTGTTCCAAATGGGTGTCCATTTTAACCCCCAAAAACTTATCGAAGCAGCGGAATTGTCAGACCTGACATTTAGAGAAAACCGATGCCTGGGTTTTTGTTGCATTGAATTTTTTGTTGCACCTCCTTCTGCCGGTGAAGATGTGCATCTGATGTCCTGGAATCCAAATGTAATAACGAGACAAGTGTGCTGTCGTCAGCAAAGCAATATATTGGATTTTTGGTTTTATGCAATAAGTCGTTGATAGACAATAAGAAGAAGGTTGGAGAGAATGTGGATCTCTGGAGAACACCAGCGTTGATGGCTATTGTTGCAATTCTTGATCAAGTAACATGAGAAAACTATGACTTTGAGGTTTATGACTTCACATTCGTTTTAAGAATCATTTCACAGTCCCAAATATGAATTTTTCCAGTTAACTTAATTTTTTATTTATATTGAACATACCTACCCAAGTTGGTGAATTGTGTTTCATTTGAATGAATAATTTTGAATGGAAAACGTATATCTTCTCTGTATTCAGTCAAATGCACTTGCAATAAGTCAATCTAGGGTTGTGATCGTTATCGTAAAGATGTCGGTATAGTTAGTTCTTGAATGATCGATAATTATATTTGCGAAGAATTCTCCAAACGAACGAATAACTCATATCACACTCAGAAACAATTTGGCGAATTGACGCCGTACAACTCACTTCAACATAGGCCAACACCTCTACTTCTTTTTTTTCACTGACGCTAAAGTTATTGGCATTTTCTTCTGGTTCATATCACATTTTTCTTTCCAGTTTCGGAAAATAATGCCGAGTGGGATGGCGACGATTAGGGAATCTCTGAGCATAAATTCGAGCTGCATCAGTGGCATATTTTCTCGTTTCTAGTATAATTTGCCATATCTAATTATAAACTAAACAACAAATGAATTTTCAAAATTGAAAGCATATTTATTAGCCTCTTTGTTTAGGTAGTCCTAGCAACAGCTTCAATTGTTAGGGATAACTAGATTAACAGGACTCATAAATATACGGAATACGTATTATTTGTATTAGGTATGATCGTTTCTTGCAATTATTCAGAAAATGAAGTGAAAGTGTGTGGCATCAAATTATTCGTAAGAAAATGATCTTTTACAAAAAGCCGACAAGACGCCCCCTTTCCATTTGAAAAAATCAAGTTAATATTGACTTGAACTGGAAAAATTCATATTTGCGACTGTGAGACAATTCTTGAAACGACTGTGAAGTCATAATCCCCAAAGTCATAGTTTTCCCATGTTACTTGATTAAGAATGGAGTGATTTACACGATCCATGGCATTCTAGATCAAAAAATAAAAATTTGAATGAAAATGATTTTATCTGTCAAATATTGACAAGTGGAGTATTGTTGGATTCAGAATGTCATTTTCGGTCGAAAAAAGTAAAAATATATAGGATGTCCCATTCAAAAATTTAAAGTTGCGGTCATTTCCAGTCAAATCGGAAGTACGGCAAAGCAAGTAAATATGTCAAAAAATGTAAATTGGACTATAATATACAACCCTCAATTTTTTTTATCTCCAGTAATTAAAAAGTTATAAGGGTTAGCCACCTTGGATAATCACCCAGTATATTCAGTATCAGCATTACATCCGTGTGGAGCCGGGGCGATCGCTACTGGTTTAATAAACCGAAACTGGTAGAAATGAGACAAAAGCCATTTTCTCTATCATATATTTAATATGAATTTCCACAAAATAAACAGGTCAATAATCGAACAAGATATCCAAATTTCTGTTACAGTCATGTGTAAATTCACCAGTGAAATAATAATTTCGAGTTGGCAAAAATAAAATGACTACAGTTCGTTTATTAAAATCCAGCTGATTGGGCGAGTTATCGATGCAGAACGTCAATCGGACAGGGATCGGCTTTTAATTAGATGTCGACTGTGCTGATGGGTGTATGAGGGGTAGCTGCCACCCATATTCGCTCTCCCGAGAGGTTTGACGCTTAGTGCTAATTATCCTCTTCCCCAACTTGCATGATCTCATTGAATGCGTAATCTTGGCCACTTCTACGAGCGGCATTCACCGGTGGGAACTCAGCAAGGGACGTAATCAGTCGTTTCGACATAGAAAGATCGTTTTCGTCAACTTCCATTTTATTGATATAGTTTCAAATATTTATTGTATCGTCATAGATCACGTAAGACAAAAAATTATTTTAATCAACCAATGAGTTAAAACTCAAGTGGCTCAATGACCAAGTGAAACAGGCAAACTTCAGTAGTCTTTAGAAGCAACTTCGCTTTCGATAAGTTTTTCTTAGATTTGTTTTCTTTGCTGTTTATTATCAGATACATTTTGAGGAGGGTACCTAATTATTCCAATTGTTCAGACAATATGTGTTGTCGCAACTCAGTACTCGCTTGGCTTATTAACGAGAGGATTTTATTCACTGTTTCATCCATTCATCATTCATCCAAATAATGAAAGAATTCATTTAAAAATATGAGTTAAAACTCAAGTGGCTCAATGACCAAGTGAAACAGGCAAACTTCAGTAGTCTTTAGAAGCAACTTCGCTTTCGATAAGTTTTTTTAGATTTATTTTCTTTGCTGTTTATTATCAGATAAATTTTGAGGAGGGTACCTAATTATTCCAATTGTTCAAACAATATGTGTTGTCGCAACTTAGTACTCGCTTGGCTTATTAACGAGAGTATTTTATTCACTGTTTCATCCATTCATCATTCATCCAAATGATGAAAGAATTTATTTAAAAACTCAATCAAATATTTATTGTAACGAAACGGGGAAAATACTTTTGGAATAAAGTTATACTAAAATGTTAATCAAAAATACAATAAATCACTAAAAACTTACATTATACTGCCACTCAGTAGGATCGAAGAAACGGAGATGTGCTGCATTGCTGGAAGCTTTTCTGAAGATCAATAGATACTGAATGAATTTGTCAATAATGTCTGTTGATGATCTTGACCTACCTCAATTTTTACGAAGATTTATATGCTGACATTGCAACTTTGATCCGATCACTGTACTAAGGTAAAATGATCAGTATGCAAAGTTTGCGTATTTGGAGATTGTTTTATATTTCTATATCATGTGATCGTATCAATTTTTGTGTCTATAAACTTGGAATATCTGTCTGTCTGTTTAAATCTGTTTAAAATCTGTTTTTCCGTTAATCAGCTGCCGCCCCCATACGAACGACAACTCTCAGAAGTTGAGAAACTTGTGCGAGCTAAGGACTAACGAGGTCTTACCTTTTAACGTGTGATTCCTAACACGGAATATCAAAAGATGAAATTCTGAATACTGAGAACTTGAATGAAATGAATAAAAACACTTTTGTCTAAATACCACTGGTAGATTTTATTTGTACGACCGGTTTCGGGTTTGACCCCATTATCAAGTATACTTGATCAAGGAAGTCGAAGAACGCATTCTCCAGAAAATTAACGAATAATTCCTCATTCAGATTTCGTTCAAGTTCCTAATAATCTTTCATTTAGTATCCCACACCACACGTTCACTTTTTGAGATATTCGATTTTCGACAATCCACCACCCAGTGCGGATTTTGGTCCGCCCAATATCTCGATAAGATACCACACCGTTAGTGTTCTCAACACTGAATAATATATTTTTCAAGAAATTCAGGTAATTGCCTTGAGCTCAAACACAGTATTCCATTCTTCTTTGTTCGTCTCCACCGTGTAAAGTGTGAATTAATTTAGGTTTGCCTTATCAAGCATCTTCAAATTTTACTTCGGCCTATATTGAGTTGGAGTGACAAATTTCTCAAACTTATATGGGGATCAGCACGATATGCTGCCAAAATGGTATCATCATCAATATGATTTTGTCGAATTTCCTCACCTTCATTACCCGGCCACTTTTCTTGAACTGGCTGTAAATTTTGGAAACTGTTTCAGAGTGTACGGGAGTATCAAGTGGGTGCCTTCCATTAAATTCAGAAGCTGCTTCACACCTTCTCCAATTGTCAGTATTACTTCAATTTTCTCTTTTTATATATGTGTGATTGATGGCTTGTTTACTCTATGGTAATTCATGATTAATTAAATGAAATGAATTAAAAACACTTTTGTCTAAATACCACTGGTATATTTTATTTATAAGACCGGTTTCGGGTTTGACCCCATTATCAAGTATAAAACTGAAACCTCGGTTATATAGAATTTTCAGGTATGCTNAAGAACATGTGTACGAAATTTATTGATGATCGGTTGAGTAGTTTTAGCGTGAAACCGTAACAAACAAACTTACATTCGCATTTATGATATAAGTAGGGATAGTAGGGATTGTTGAAATAGGCATTATTTTTTTTTGTAGAAGTGAACCACAATGATCTCTTTATTTTGTTCCTGTCTTTTGTAGAGTAAAAATCACATCAATATGGCATACATTTTCCCATGATAGAATGTTATATGTCGACTGACCATGAAATGAACACCAGGAAAACTCCTTGAAGTTAATAAACCTAATGCCCAACGACGTCTGAGCCTTTCCTCAAATCTAAAATTGAATCGGTAATGCAAAACAAGTTGAATTCCATTTCCGCACTTCGCATTCACAAGCTGTAACGAAGTAAAGGATTCAGACAGAAGAGTAAATATAATTATTGAACCCCGTATCCTGTTCAACCCTCTGCTTTTTGCGTTTTCTGACGCTCCACCTCTGGACGGTTTAAAATGACTAATTGGATTCGAAACTTGATTACGAATCCACTTTATCTTATCGAAAGTATTGCGAACAAAGCGTTTCAGGAAAAAGTTTCACACGTTTTATAATCTTTTAAAACCAACCAAACCACAAATATTTTCATATTTTGGAAGAATAATTGGGGTGGTAATTTCAGTTATTATTTTTGAGTGATTATGAATAAATTACATTGTCTTTTCACACAAAATAGAAAGTTTTATTTTTCATAACGAAAATGTCTTCGAACCTATTTTGAAATAGGACGAATATGAAGTCACAAATAAAAGTGGTGAAAAACAGGAAGTTTCATTTCTCATTTTTCATGATGATCTCCCACTACGTAGTTAACGACTATATCCATTTATTGACATTTCCGTAACTTCCAGGCAATAACTAACTCTCTTAGGGTCGGTTTATCAATACGTAGTTAAATGCTCCTGTTAGCTACCTCGAAGCTAAGCTTAGCTGATAGTCAATGTTGCAGTTACTACTCAAATCGTTTATCATACCCTGACTGATGCTAATGTTTAATAACTGTTAGTTGATTAAGGTTGGCATGAGTGACAATTTCAGGGCCTTGTTTCTATTGGAGGATTGATTTTCAAAAATGACAACTGCTAACAGAAAGTTCATGAGTTATACATTATAAGCTATATGAGTTCCGAGGGCAAATGAAAAACGAGAATGAGCAATAAGAGAACATCCAATTTTACCGAAACAGACAGATCTCTCCTAATAAAAATTGCCAATTCCTATAAACTTATCATTGAGTACAAAAAAACTGATGCCACCACATGGAAAGAGAAAGAAGAGGCCTGGAAAAGAGTTGAAATTGGCTTTAATTCCTCTGCATCAGGACCTGTAAGGGGCAATAAAACTTCCTAATGAAGTCGAAACAGTTTATAATTACTATTTTGTAGCCCAGAACTGCCAAGCAATTGAAAACAAAATATGAGGCCATAAAGAAAGAGTTGAAGAAAAGATTCCACCAACATCACAAATATGTGACAGGCACAGGAGGAGGAACATACATTTGTCCGCCAACTCCAAAAACGGAGGAAGAGAAAATATTGGCAGAAACAATCAGTTTCAGTATTCAAGGCCTTCAAAATAATTTTGATTCAGATGGTGTGGCTGGTAGGTACAAGTGTTATTTGAAAATACTTGGGATTATTGTATCAAGTAATACACCTATTCATTTTTCTCTATTGATGTCTCCCAGGTATATCAGGACTCTCTTATGAAGATACCCAAGTTGAGGAAAGTCAAACTGAAGATGTACTTGATGATTGGACTCCACCAAATAATAAAATGTTGAAAACACATATCAATCCTATATTGAAACCGCATGAAAACTCTGTTAATGAAGAAAAAAATGTTATAGAAACTGAATGTGATATAAGTACTAAAACAATGGCAGACGAAGAAAATGTAGATTTTAACTACGTCTCTGACCATTCTTATGGTAAAACTCCAAACATTAATCAAGAAGAGATTCATGAGCATGAGTTTTGTTCAGATTGACTTGGATTATAAAAATTATTAATAATAATAATTTTTTATTATTTCCTTGTTAAAAAGTACATTGCTATACGTACAGTGACAAGGAAAACGTCTGAGGGTAGGATATGTAATTTTTTTAAATAGTAGAATGAAATTAGCCGCTTTTAAATTGTCAGGTATCTTCAAAAAGTTAGTAGTTTATTTTTCATGATTCAATTATAATCTTTATGATCAAGTCATGTTTTTTGAGCTGATTATATTCTTGTTGTATTTAATATTTTTGAAGTGCATACCAAAATGTTTCAAGTACCTGAAAAACATAGAGGGGCATGTCTTACTGAAACATTGTAGATTTAATTCAGATATCATTTTAGGGTTTATATTAGCTAAATTGACTTCTTGATCCAGGGGTGGTTCTTGTTCTCTTTTATCTATGGCAATATTATGCAACACTCCTACAGCAACAATGACTGTTTGTGCAGTTTCTAATTTAAGTCGAAGCCCTAATGCTAAAACAGTAAACCTCCTTTTCGACACGCCATATTGACGTTCTACTGGATTCTTAGTTCGTGTTACTAAAAAAAAAGTAATTACAGAAACATTTCAAGAAACTTGAAATATAAACTGCAGAGAGAGTTTGAAAATATATTATTGAACTCATTAACATTGTATGGAATTTAAATACAAACTTTTTTAGCTGACATAACTTAATATTATGAAATGAACAATCACCTGATTCATTATACAACTGCTCTACTTCATTACCCGGTGTTAGCAATGGTGTGATAATGTGTTGAGTATTGACATAGCCACTATCTGCCACCAATAAGCTATTACCAAATTCTCCATTTTCCAGTCTACGTTTCAAATTGGAATGATCAAAGATGGTTTGGTCATGTGTAGAACCTGGCCAACGGGCAACTAGATCCATGATCTTCAAATCTGTTGAACTAACAGTTTGAACATTTATTGAAAAATATCCTTTTTGGTTTCTGAAGAGTTCAGCATTATCCTTACCTAAAACAATAAATGATTCATTTATCCCTTCATTTTGATAAGATATTACCAGGAGACTGAATTTTTATATGTGTGCAATCTAGTGAGCCAATAACTCTAGGAAGGCTTGCTTTATTATAAAACTGTATACGCTTGAATGACACTTCATTTTCATTTCTTGGCATCATTATGTAACTTAGGGCAAGCAATGCCAGGGCTGAGGAAACCTTTTTTATTATGTTACTAGCTGAACTTTTACTAACATGCATGTAATCACCAATAGTTATTGAAAAAACTTCCTGTTGCATAGAACCTCAATGTCAGTAACAATTGGTTAATTAGACTGAAATAAACATAAAATTTGAATCTGCCATGACAAAGATCCAATCACTCTTACCTATCTGTTGGTGTTTCAAGTGCTTGCTCTATTTGTTCTAATATGAATAATACTGTATTTTTCTCCAATCTGAATCTTCTCACAAACTCCACATCATCTAATTCATTGAAAGCATCATTACGTTCATTAACAATGTGAGGTCTTCTTTGTGCTTCAATGAACTCCACTATATCCTCACCTTCGTCATTTAACAAATGGAAAACTTCCATAATTAAACAATTATAGTAATTAACTCTTTACTTGCAAAAAGTATTTTTCAAATAACATTTGTATCACAAAAAACATAAATAACCTAATTTCGCATGCGCAACCTCATAACCATAGAATATCGGAACTGATATTCTGTGACATAACTGTCAGCTTGAATAAAAAACTATCACTTTCTAGCGACTGTTACGGTCACTGAGACTTCAGCTACCAGTTGATGGTAACATGATAACGAAAAACAGTTTGACTAGGAACTAAGACAAAACTGTTGTCAAATGAGGTTAGCTGGTGATTGATAAACCGACCCTTAAACGCTATCAGACACACAGCACATCATACACATCAACAATCACAAACCATTCATCTTGATGTCCCAATCGTTCGAAAGTTAATGTAACATAATCATACTCAAATATCACAATATGTGATGTCATCAGTGGTGAAGTGAGATGTACGCGGAACTGTTTATTCCACTGTAACAAATACCATGAAAATAGTTTTTTTCTCAAGGAATGACGGAAATTACTTTAGAATCTTAGGGCGATTCCAAGAATCTTCACATTAACAAATAGTTTCTCTCTCATAGTACCACATCCAAGGTCGTCAATTTCAAGCTCGAGTATTTCATCAACTTTCTCCCATTGATAATTGAAAACCCAAAATTTTCTGAAAAAAACAACCATAGAAGTAAACCGTCCCCTGTCTGCCATAGACCAACACACATTGGTGTGCATTTGGGAAAAATGTATCATGTAATAGATGAAGGAATGTCATAGGGTTGTCGTCAATCATGCTTCCTCTGATAGATTCAAAGATTTAGTTTTTGTGGGGTGCACATGCCTCTCTTCATACGCTGAGGCTGATGTATTCATTTGCTGCCACTGCGAACTCCTTCCACTACAAACTTGTACTTGTACAGAGTACCCATTAAAGACAATGTCAAATGGTGCCATTTTTCCGTGTATGTCATCTACCCCCCAACCTTATATACAAGGTCAAACTCCACACAGGCTGACACACTTAAGATGAAGACGCCCCTCTATTTCAGTCATTTCTGAAAGAAGATACTTGCTTTTTTGATATAGGCAAAGACCTTCATGAGCCGCAATTTTCGCAATAATCAGCTCGAGAGATAGCCTCAAGCCCAGCCTACCGCATTCCTGCGAAAAGGACAAATTCTCGCGTTGATACCGAAATGAGTTATTTGAAAAAGTTGCTTACATATCGATTTTGACCCGACATACCGAATTTCAACGCAAAATTCTAAATTCATATTCAACCCCGACCTTCAATTAATGGTTTACAAGTAAATAGCCACGAAAATAATAAATTCCTTATAATGTAGGGATGAGAATGAAAAACATAATATTCATCATGGATTTTTTTTTTCATTGATTTTGACTATTTCATCATCCGGAACTATTAATAGAAAATCGGACTTGAATATGAAAATCGATTTCTACGCAACTTTTGAAATAATTTATATCGGTATCCCCAACGCGAAGCAAAATATCAATAAATTACCGTTTTCGCAGGATCGCAGTAAGCTAAGTTCGAGGCTGTGTCTCAGGCTAAGTATTGCTGAAAGTGCGACTCAATGACGTTATTCAAGATCAAAATTCAAGGTCATGTACCAGAAACAGGCTCGAATCTCAGGTCAAACTCCATGTTCAAGGTCATATGGTCTTGCACATAGCTCAAGGCCGTGTGGCGCCAGTCAAGGACAATGCCGTCAATTACGCCATAACGGTGGGGGAAACCTGGATTCGGCTGTAACCTCCTACTGTTGATCACGACATCATACTGATGTTAGCCGTTTCTTTTCTTCTGTTGAGATTAATGTGAGATTAGTCCAGTCTTTATAGTAAGTTCACCTCGGAATTCGGGATACCTAGCTGTAAGTCTGTAAATACTTGTATATTGACACCCTGAAAGTTGTCTTAGAACCTACATATGGTAGGGTATACGCAACTATTAAATTTCAAGGTCAAAGGTCACAAAAATCGGTTTTTTGCGCTTTTTTTGTAAATATCTCATTTCCTATAGGTTTTTTGCTATTTGTATTTATTATCAATATTGTAGAATATAAAATTCTCTACAAATTTTGTTGAAAAGGTTTTTTCATACGGTGAACCGTTTTCGAGATTGAGGGCGGAGAGCGCGCGGTCACAGGATCACTTCAGGTCAACCGGTGCCTCCGGTCGAAAACGCGCCATATATAGTTGATGAACTATCAATAAATCAATGATTATAAATATTTATCAATTTTTATAAACTATATTTGAATTTCAAACTAATTAATAACTTCTTACATGATGAAAAAAACAAATAAATTAAGAATTAATCTTTTTATTAAAAAATATCATTCAATACATTTATTTTCATTAAAAGTAAAAAAATGGACTAAAGTTTTGTAGACTTGACGTAATGCATATAACGAAAATGATCGAGATTTTTTACAGATTTCGGATCATTATAGACTGCCAATAAGGTTTGAGTTCCACTCTCTAATAATCTCAGGGCCGAACAGTTTTCTTCCTCAAATGCTGCAGCTAGTTCATCCAAATTTGTCAGTTTCTCAAAAAATTTTAAAAATTATTTTTTCCCTTTTTAAAAAGCGCAGAAATTGTGGCACAGCCACTTAATGCGTGCAGAAATAAAATATGTGTTTTGGGATGAGGATAATTATCAAAACTTTTAGTCGAGCAGTATATCTCCGTTTTTATATTTCCTTTCCCAACTTTTTTAAAGAAAATTTCTTATTCGTAAGACAGTGTATGCCCAATTAAAATGACAAGTAAATCAATATCTTGTCCTATTAAAACTGTAGTTTTTTCAGACTTTGATTCTTCAATTGCAGTTTCAACTATAACATCCGCATCATCTCTGGCTTGTTTAGTAGTAATATTTGCAGCTTGTGATTTTTCAATTAACATATTAATGAGCATATCTTTGTTATTTCGATTTGATAAGAATTTTTCTTGAGTAACTGGTACAACCATTGTTTCATCGAAACAGACTTCATAAGTTTTTGAAAGTGCAGCAGTTCTTCTCTGCTGCTCCATAACTTTTACTTTCTTACTGTAGTCTGAATATCCGTCAAATATAACAATTATTTTGGAACTGTAATGCCTTTGTAAATAATTCATGTATTCATCAAAAATAATAGAAAACGTATCTTCTCTGCTCCTTACAACATGATGAAGAAGAAATCCGCCATCAATAATGAACGTCACATTATTTTCATTGGGAACAAAATCAACTGGGCTCATGTTGTCATACAATGACGATTTTGTTGTTTTTCTCATGCCATCATTATCAAATAGAGCTGTTGGATACGGACTCAATTAATATTGAAGATATTCTTCAAAATTACTTTCAAATTGTTTGCTGACAATAATTCTTTGCAAGAGTAACAATGGATCCACGCAATTTCGACCGAAGGCACCGGTTAACCTAAAGTGATCCTGTGACTGCGCGCTCTTCGTCCTCTATCTCGAAAACGGTTCACCGTATGAAAAATTTTTTTCAACAGAATTTGTAGAAAATTTTTTATTCTACAATATTGATGATGAAAACAAATAGCAAAAAACCCATAGGAAATGAGATATTTACAAAAAAAGCGCAAAAAACCGATTTTTGTGACCATTGACTTCGAAATTTAATAGTTGCATACACCCTACCATATGTAGGTTTTGAGACAACTTTTAGGGTGTCAATATACAAGTATTTACAGACTTACAGCTGGGTATCTCGAATTCCAAGATTCTTACCTAATTTAAGCTTAAATGACTGGTGTAGATTTCAAACGCATAATTTTCAGTTCAGGAAGTCGACATCGACTTTATAATAAACATTGGCTTTCTAAGATTCATTTACTATTACTCAAAATTTAACATAAAATTAATGCTTGCTACAAACTATGCTACATGATATTCGAACAGTTTTTTCTTTTTAGATCATATAAATTAAAGCTAATTTTAAAAAACGATTTTACAGTTAATTTACATTCAGATTGTCTAATACCTCTTTTTCGAATTCCTCAGACTCAAGGCGGACTACTTCAATTTCGTTGAACACACTATCAAAGGAAATCCAAGCCTGCTTCGTATTGGAATCCCCGCGGTGACTAACAAACTTTTCCGCTGCCTGCCAAAAGTTGCAATGGAAAAACGTGACAACCGAGACTGGGAATTCATTCTATTAATTATATTGAATATAAACGCGTCCGCAAACGTCGTGTAATCACTATCCTTTGCGGGGAGATACACTTCGTTTTATCAAATGCCGATTGCATCATTATCAACTTGTGTGTTTCCTGTGGTATTTCAGTCTAGTAACCAGACTGAGTGCGAACTGTAACCGGTGATTGAAGTGATCTGTAATTTCTAATTGTTCATGGCCGAATAGTTGTTCATCGGCCTTCGTTTCGGCAAGGTGCCAGTGAAAAAGACGGACCAATGAACTCTCATAACCGAGTTGTGGCCGATTGATTTAAAAGTAACACTGAGAAAACTCACAAAAATGAAGTGTGTTTGGTGTTGTTTCCAGACAGTTATGATTCTAGTGGTCTGTCATGCGAGTTCTGGGCAAGAAAAAGAAACAGTGGTATGTATTTTTCCAATTAGTTATGAAGTAATTATCTAAAAGTTTTCAACTCTGAAACAGACAAAGTTGAGAGAAGTATAAAATTCATAGGCTGGAACTAGCCTAACTTAGGTCAGCATATATTATATATGCAAGAGGTTTAGTGATGCATTTTCGTAATGAACAATTCAGTTTTTGCCAGTGTTTTGGACTTCATTGAAGTCATCATTAGGTCTCTATATTAAAATATATCCATAAGGAAACATTTTACATATATTCCGTTTTATTCCAAAACATACACTGTTTTCAGCACTGGAACTAATTCAACTTCTGAAGACGCCAACTTAATTGGTGAAACGCCCAAAACCTTATATTGTCCAAACGCGAAGAATATTTTCCCAAAGAATAAAAGAACATAGGAGTTGTGTTCTGAATGTGAAGATCAATTCCACATTTGCAAACTATCTTTTTGTAAAGGGACAAAAGTTAAACCACAACTATAACGTATTATATTTGAAAGTGGAAGGTTTTAAACGCAATGCTTAGAAATTGATAAATTAGAGAACTCGGACAACTCAATGAATGAAAAAACCGAATCGTATTCTTTCCTTCTGTTTTATATTGTGAAAAGATATTATTGATTGATGATTGTTCATAATGGACTAGTTGTTGCCCGCGACTAAGTAGAATTTGGTTTGTCATATTAAGTTTCGTGACAGACCATTTTGAACAAATTGTTACAATACTATTTTATCAACCCAAAACTTTAAAACTGACGAAATTCAATAAAATCTTTGAACCACCATTTTTCCCCTTTGGGGGTGGAAATTCCTGATTCCCTTTCTTGATGCTTATTTACGCTATACAAAGGACCTACCTGCATATTTTAAGATTCCAGGTTCAGTAGCTTCGGCTGTACGTTAATATAAGAGCTGGCAACAACTAGCAATTTATATTTTTACTTTAAAATACAATAACTAAAGAAATATATCAATTGCACTGTGAAATGAATAACTTCGAGAATCGAATTATGTTACCTATGTTTTGGTCGGTCGGTAGCCGGTCGGTTCGACGGGGTGCTTTGTTCATTCACTCAAATCGACTGTTGTGTTGGTCGGTGGTTCAAGCTCCAGGCTAAACGATCGATTTTCACTTGCTATCGTCCAACCCGTGTTAGGAATCACACGTTAAAAGATAAGATCCCGTTAGTCCTTAGTTCGCACAAGTTTCGACTTTTGAGGGTTGCCGTTTGTAGGGGTGCGACAGCTGGTTAACGAAAAAACAGATTTTAAACATAGATTTTCAAATAGATAAAGAAATTCGCAAAACTTACACAACCGTCAATAACGTCTACCCTCACGTCTCTGCCCGTGTTCGGGTCGCGTTCTCAGCGATGGCGCTTCATTACTTAAACCACCCTTCGGCCAAGTTACAAAGACAAAGTTTATCTATATTTTACTTAAAACGACAATTTTGACAGATATTCTGGAATGTGCATTGTAAAAAAGGTATCCAATTTATTTGCATTAATGGCTCAGTATTTTGCATATAGTGACTACCACATAAGAGCTGGATTTATGCTATCGCGGACAATTAAGATAAACAATCTTACGGTAACTCCAACAGTAGGTACAGGCAGCGCACGACAAAATAGCTCTCAGGGAGCAAGCATTTTTCGGACTTACTCAATACTTATCGTTATGTCATGACCAAATGTAAATTGTAGCCTCTATAGGGTGGGCCATCGAAAACTTGACATGGAGGTTTTGGGTACTGATCTTGCAAATCCTAAAAAACGCTCAGACAGGTCGATTTTTTATTGGGAGGGGGATAGTTTTGTCCCATTTACAGCGTCGTCACTTCAACCCCGGGCCAAAGGGTGAACAACCCTCGGAAATTTAATAGGAAACTGGGGGCGAGTCGCACATCGTTTGAAAGACAAACTAAACAACGGTGTATATATTTTTTTTTATTTGGACGAATGACCTCATAGAAAGAAATCTATCGGCGAAAGGTCTGGTGATCGAGGTGGCCATTCGATAGTGCCCTGCCTCCCAATCCAGTGATCCGGAAAAGTCTGATCTAAATACTGCCGAACAGGCAGAGCATAGTGCGGAGGAGCCCCATCTTGTTGAAATATTGACAGATCCTCCCGATAATTGTGGTCATTTTCAATAATATCAGTGAGAAGGGGATTAATAGTATCTTCCAGAAGGTCCAGATACAATTGTCCGGTTAAATTGCCTTCTAAAAACAATGGGCCAACAATACGCTCACCAAAAATTCCAACCCATAAATTCAATTTTTGTGGTCGTTGAGTATGCACTTCATGAAAAATGTGAGGGTTTGAATCAGCCCAATAGCGACAATTATGGCGATTAACTATGCCATTTAGAAAGAAAGAACATTCATCACTGAAGCAAATGTTGAAAACAAAATGTGGATTTTCCACCGATCGTTCACTAAACAACTCGCAAAATTGCGAGCGTCGATCGAAATCATCTTTATTCAGTTCAGTTGTGGTTTTTCAAAATACGCCGAATGCTAGTTCGTGACACCCCGGAAACAAATGCTAACTTTCTTGTGCTCAAAGTATGGTCAAGCTCAATATGTTCCAGAAGTGCCACTTGTGTCGCCTCATTTGTTACTGGTGGTTCGAATTGCCACTTTTTATCTGCTACAGAAATTTTGCAATTAAATCGAAAACATACCTACTATCGCGACACATTCTTCCCATGTTGTTGATTGAACAGTTCAGCGGTTCTCTCAGCACAACGTCTATTTCCATAGTATAGTTCAATCGACTCAACCCTCTCTGCAGTTATGTAAACCATTGTTTCTTTAGCAACACTTTACGGCAGTCACTACTAGTAATAATGTAGATATCATTCTTAACATAAAAATGAAAAATAGAAACAGCATTTTTAACCATTTCTCAATTGTAATAGTCCTCTTATCAGAGAAGAACTTAAAAATTAACAAAAAAGTAGCGTAAGAAACAAATGAAAGAGTTCCACTTACATTTCAACTGAGCAGTGGCGTACAATAATTTGTTGCTATTAACAATATTGAAAAAATTAATTATCGGAAAGAACTCTTTTGAATACGTTCAAATATAAAAAAATGTACACCATTGTTAAGAGCATTCTAAGATCTTTCAAACGATGTGCGACTCGCCCCCTATTCCCTATTGAAATTCCAAGGGTTGTAAATGGGGAAAAGTGCCCCCGCCCCAATAAAAATTGTCTTGTCTAAGCATTTTTTCGGATTTGTTAGATAAGTACCCAAAATCTCCATGTCAAGTTTTCGATGGCCTACCCTGTATGTATCCTTATGTATTTATGTGAAGTTTCATCTAAATCCGTTCAGCCGTTAAGGCGTGAAAAAGTCACAAACATACATAAATACATCCTTACTCACAAACTTTCACATTTATAATAGTATAGATAGATATAGTTTTCGTAAAAATATTGTAACAAGTACTTTTTTTACAGAGTGACGTACAAGTGAGACTGCCTAAGTGTTGTGAGATCAACGAAACTTTTGACGTAGATAATAAAACTTGTTCTCGAACAACAGAAACAGTGAACTATGAACATTTTTATTTCGACACTAACCAGACCCATATTGGAGTAAATCGAACCAAATTTACTCCAACATTTTTCAAACGAAGTTGGTTCTGCCCGAAGGGAGGTACAACGTAAGTATATAAATATGGTGAATTTTACCATATGGACACAGAAAAAAATCGCAATCGCCAATCCAAGGCGAAAACTTTATACCAGTTATTAAAATGTTGAATACTATACTGTGTTTCCTAATAGTGAAAAGTAATAAATGCTCATTACGAATGCAGAACGGCAACAGAGTGTTCGAAAAAGATTTTATGATTTGGCACAGCTGGAATAGGCGGGTTTATAATACTTTACTGGAGCCACCCTAATTTTGTATATCAAACGGGTGGCATACAAAATATTTTATGAGTATTCGGGTCGTTTTCAACCTGCAGTGGCCTGCGTTTCGGTATTTAATCAAAAATAGTTGTTAAAACTAATAATTTTGTATAGAGTTCATTTTTTGAAATTATTGACTTTCCCTCATACTTTGGAAGATTCCCACATTTTTTTGTATACAGATCAAGAAGTAGAAAGCCAAATCATTCTTTCCCAACAACAATAATTATTGCTGTAACATTTTAATTTGATATATTCAGGTATGCTCATTTCAAAAGGTATTAAGTATAAAAAAATATGGTTTGTTATCATGAAGTAAATACGACGAATTTTCGTTGCTTCAACAAACCCCGTTAATTTTCTATATCCCGGCCATGATTTCCACTCCCGATTCTGACGTAACTTTGGAATATCTCTTTTCATCCGAAGCGATCTCTCTTGCCAACGAGAAGAAATGCTGGAACCCCAAAACTTTCATGTTATGTGGTTTGAATTAATATCATTGGCCGCGGTGGTAGTGCGCCCGACTCACGACAGGAAGGCCGTTGGTTCAATTCCCGCCTCGACCCGCTATTTTTCTTGAGAGAATTTATCTGGTTGAAGCTGGGATGATTCTGCAACCGTGTTAGGAATCACACGTTAAAAGGTAAGACCTCGTTAGTCCTTAGCTCGCAAAAGTTTTTTAACTTCTGAGAGTTGTCGTTCGTATGGAAGCGACAGCTGATTGACGGAAAAACAGATTTTAAACAGAACAGAGCACAGAAGATCACAAAATTCATATGTTGCGTTTATCAACCACCAAGCGATACACAATATGAGGCACGATTCTCTTCATTTGCAAACACTATTGACTCTCTGCAAATCAATCGTCCCTGTGCCGATATTTCCGGATTCGGTGATTTCAATGTCCATAATATCGAAAGGCTCAGATTATAAATGAGCCAACCAGGGTTCGTGACCGTGATGGAGAATATGCTAGTCTTATGGATCTATACCTAACAACCAATCCAGAAATTTACAGTCACCGTAAGGTCTCCATTGGGATCTTCTGGCCATAAAAATATGTGTTGCTCAAAGTAACAAAAGATAATAGAGAGGCTTTTTCCTTCCTTACATTGAAGGCAGCATAACTTTGTTTGTTTACGGGAAGTAAGTTGGACCATAAAACAGTGACGGTTGGTTTAGTTGATAATCGGAGGGATATTATATATTTATAAAATAGTTCAAGTAGTTCCTACAGAAAATCTGATTTATTATTCTACCACTCACTAGATTTTTATTTATGTATGGCTTTATAATAAAGGGCATGGTTTACTGGGTTGAAATAAAATTATTTCAAATGAACTAATTCATAACCATGAATTCAAAAGTAATGAACTTTGCTTCATAAAATTAGATGAAGAAATTTGTGGTTTATTCTCAGATTTGATAAACAAGCGGTACGGTTTGTGAGGTCCGATATAAAGAATTTTCGATTAGAAATCATGATTCAATTCAAAATTGCTATCTAGGGGTCTTTGTGGACCGACATTATGAAAGGGGATATTTTTTATGTTTAATGACATTTTTTTGGTCCTATCCTTATAAATGAAGTCTTTGAAACTAGTTTATATTATTTCATTATTTGACCAAAAAAACCAAAAAAAGTTAAAAAAATGACAACCGCATTTCTTATTGAATATTGTCTGTATGCAACGCAAGAGCCTTGTGCAAAGAAAGGAAAATCAAAACGGAAATAATTTTTTTTTTGTGACGTAAGTTGGTTGTTAAGTGAGCAATAACAGATTCAACACCCGTTGCACAAGAATAACTATTTAGTATAATTACTGAACATTGAGCAGAATGCTTTTTAATCTGTTGATCACAGAATAAATATGACCTATGGCACACATATGAAAAACATATTTTTCATTTACATTAATGATTTTTCGTAATTATAGAATTCGTCAGCATGCATTATTGAAAAAAAAAACATAATGTCGGTCCA